TCTACCCAGCTACTGTGAGCTCCCAAGTATATACCAAAGCACCAGTACACAAATATTAATGAAGAAACAGTAATGTTCCTCACTCAAAGCTTCTAATTGCACTGGTTCTGAGTCTGGATACACCAAAGTCCATTTGTGATTTTCTAAGGACATCATTCAACAATATCATGCTTTCCTACACCTAAGTATCCCTTCCCTTCCTCCCATCCCACTCACACTAACCTCACTGACTGCTGCCAATACTTCAAGCCTCAGCCCAAAAAAACCTTCCTCTGCAAAGCCTTTCAAACTTCAGGGCAACTTAGCTGCCCCTTTGCCTATGTTCTTCAATCACGCCACTATTTATTCCACCACTGGCCCCATCTGTGGGCACCCTGCCAACCCAGCAGCCTTCTCAAGGAGTGACTGAATCCTTATCTCAAACAACTGACTCCTAGAGACAAGATGAGGAACCAAGAAGCTCTTCCCACTAGCTAGCTCCAATCATTCTCTTAAACTCCTCCCTTAAACTCTGACCTTTAAAGATCATACTGTGGTCAAGCTGGAACCCCTGCTACCCTTCTGAATCATTGCCTTTATAGGGTCTTCAGATCACAGACCACATCCTCCATTCCTTGACTCAGTTCTTGCTCCTGTCACTCTTGGCAACACTAATGTCATAATTATTGGTGATTTCCTTTTTATTTAGATGATCCAACATCCTGGCCACTTCACCTTCACAGTTGTGTCCTCTGCCTTATCTCAGCCACTCACACATGAGGTCATACCTAGAGTCTGGAACAGGAATTGTCAAACTCTGCAAAGGCCAGATAGCTTTGTGAGCCAGGGAGTAATGTCTAATGTCTTCAATTATTTGACCAGGTGCTCTTGCTGAAAGGATAACTGTCAGTGTGCCCCCCCCCCTTACACTTTAAAATGTAGAGATCATTCTTAAATTGTACAAAAAACAGCATCAGGCTAGATTTGGCCCACAGGCCATAGTTTGCTGACCCCTACACTAGACCTTGTCATGCCTACAATCTCAGTTTCCAAAATCTTGATTTCAAGCATCTCAGCTTCTGGCCACCAACTCGTATATTTTTTACACCTGAACTCCAACAACCCTTCTGCTTCACAGGGACTTGTAATCTATTCATCAATTCTGTGTTCCTAACTGGGACAAAGTAATCCCAACTACTTGGGAGGCTGAGGTAGGACGATTATGAGTTCAAGGCCAGCCTGGGCAGCATTACAAGACCCTGTCTCAAAAAATTAAAAGAAAAAATCTACATCTCCCATATTTCCTCCTTTCCTGACTTAGATTTGATTCCTTTCTTGCTCCTCTCTCCCTTTATTGTAATCACCTGGCAAACTTCCAACCCCAGTCAAATCCCACCTTTATCTATTTTTTCCTACATCCTATTTTGGCCAGAGAAAGACATACAACCTTGGTGGCATGTCTGGCTTTCAATTAAGACTACAAGCCTCAAG